CGAACCCTCGGTGGGAGCGCCGCCGCACTTCCCAAGCGGCGCACTGTAGCAGTGCACCACCAGGCCGGCCCATTACCTCTTCTTTTGATGAAGCAAATGTCTTAAATTTGCAGAGCCACTTTCTCCAAAGAACTAAATAATAGATAATATTTGTCAACTTTATGCTTACATGCTAGGCGTTGTGCCACTACTTTATCTGTATATCCATATAATCTTCAGCAACCTTCCAGGAAATTATCATCCTCATTTTACAGATGAGAAAAGTGAGACTTAGGGAGGTTACATGGTTTGCACACTGCTGCTGAGTGGTGGATCTTGCATACCTGAGAGTCTTACTCTCTAGTGTTTCCCTGCGTCTGAGTGAGCTGATGGAATTTCTGAGGTAGGAGAAAATGGGAAAATTTACATACGACTGCAGGTCTGCCAGTTCAGCCCTAGTGTCATTTGAACACTTTCTTCATAGTGAGAATTGGTGACTCTATAGGCTGCAAACTTCTGTTTCTTATTGATTTCTTTCTCTTCTTCCAGTACCACCTTCTTGGGACCCTGCCCTTCCCCAAAAGGAAGACTCGGGAGAAGGCGGAATGGATTCTAGTCTCTGCACACCTGGGCCCCAGGTAAGTTGGAAATTTATTCTAAGAGGCAAACTCTTTTATTCCTAATACTAATGGTAGGGTTGGTTTGTGTCTCCCCCGCCCCCCCACCTCGCCCCAATTCACAAAAGTAATTCATGTTTATTTGAGCAAACCTGGAAAATATAGAAAACAGGAAAAAAAAATTATTATTTTTTTTTAAAAGATGACCGGTAAGGGGATCTTAACCCTTGACTTGGTGCTGTCAGTACCACGCTCAGCCAGTGAGCAAACCAGCCATCCCTATATGGGATCCAAACCCGGGGCCTTGGTCTTATCAGCACCACACTCTCCCGATTGAGCCACGGGCCGGCCCAAAAACACGAAAAATTTAAATTAACCCTTAATCCCACAAAGAGGTAGCACTTAACGTTTTGATTTGTGTGCTTTCAGTCACGTTCTTCCTTTTCTGTATTTCCTCAAGGTGGGTTTTTCTTTTTTTTTTTTTTTAAAAGATGACCGGTAAGGGGATCTCAACCCTTGGCTTGGTGTTGTCAGCACCAGGCTCAGCCAGTGAGCAAACCGGCCATCCCTATATAGGATCCGAACCCGTGGCCTTGGTGTTATCAGCACCGCACTCTACCGAGTGAGCCACGGGCCGGCCTGTCAAGGTGGGTTTTTCTGCTTTGTAACCTTTTTGTTTCCAGTTAGCAGAATTTGATGAACCTTTCCCCATTTCATTAAGAGCATTCTACCAAATTGTTTCTAATACATTCGACTGCTTAGTCCTTCTATGAGAGTAGCCTGTCTTCCCTTCTTTCTTGACTAGGTAATGGTGTATTTATTTTCATTTTTTAAAACTTTGGTCTTGGATTTCTTCATCATTTCTACTCTTTATTAATATATTTTTCTTTATTAATTTTTTGCTTCTGATTTCCTCAGATTTTTTTATTTTATTTTATTTTTTTTTAAAAGATGACCGGTAAGGGGATCTTAACACTTGACTTGGTGTTGTCAGCACCACGCTCACCCAGTGAGCAACCTGGCATCCCTATATGGGATCCGAACCCGTGGCCTTGGTGTTATCAGCACCACACTCTCCCGAGTGAGCCACAGGCCGGCCCTCCTCAGATTTATTTTAAAATTCTTTTTTTTTTTTTTAACCACTTGAGTTGAATCCTGAATTTATTTTCTTCCTTCCTTGCTTATATTGAAAGGATTTTTTTCTTTTCTCTTTTATTCTTTTTCTGGCAGCTCGCCGGTACAGTGATCTGAATCCTTGACCTTGGTGTTAAATGCTCCCAAATGAGCCAACCGGCCAGCTCCTATATTGTAAGTTTTTAGCTGTTGATTTTTTTTTTTTTTAAATATTCTAAAATGATGGTTTTGATTTCTTTGCCCATTCAGCTGGTGTGTGCTTTATGAGAACAGAGTCCATGTCTCTTCTCAACACAAAATACTGGTACAATGTGATTGCAGGATGCAGGGTTTGATAGCCCTGTCAGCTCAACCTTATTAAATGGCTTGGTTCTTCCATATCTTTATTTTTTTGTTTCTTTATTCATTTTGGATTAATTCTGCAACTGACTGAGTTATTTTAAATATATCTCAAAACTGCACTGTTTTAAATTTCTCCTTGTATTTCCTACAATTTTTCCTTTATGTGTTATATGACTTTTTGTTATTTGGTTCCTGACATTTATATCTTTATAATGGGTTTTACTTTCTTGATTATTATAGAGTTACCCAGATATTTTCAACATTTCATATTAATAAAAAATGACCCTCTTTGTTCCATTTAGTGCATTTCTCAGGGTAAAGGATAGATTGGATGGGCAGGTAAAATTAGAGGTCAGGAGACTAGTTCTAATCTGGAAAATGATGCTGGCTTACAGTAAGGCTGTGGCAGACAAGTGGAAAGAAAGGGTTGATTTCTCATGATCTTAGGAGGAAGAATCCATAGGGGTTGATGGGGGGTGGGGGGCGCTGCAAGAAAAGAGAGGATAATACCCAGATTTCTACCTTGGCCAACAAGGTGCCACTCCCTGACCTGTGAATAGACAGAAGGGCAAGTGAACTCGGGTCTCCCTGTTGCATTTTGTTGTGTTGGAGGTTCCTGTGGAACCTGGTCAGGAGATAATTACTGTCTTCTGTTAATACTGTGGTGTAATCTCCTGATTAGGTTTTCGCTTGTCCACCTGGTTGCTCCCACTGTACCCCCCCCTCCACCAGCACCTTGCAGAGGGTACATTGCATAGAGTAGGCCCCTATTTGTTATAATAACAGCCGAGCTGCCACCTGCATGCCTTACTGCTCCCACTCTGACTCTCCTGAACTCCATGTTTTTGCGTGTTACTGAACATCTGCACTTGCCTGTCCTACAGTCACCTTAAACTCTGTGAGCCCCAAAACCAAAAGTAGTTACTAAGCTGACATGGGCAGTTACCTTCTTCCAGTGCTTCTCTTTGTGATGACAGGACCATCTGTCTAGTCTTCCAGGAGGAAAAAGCTTTGATTCATCCTCAGATCTTCTCTTATGAAGCCCATTTCTGGCTGTGCATCTAGTCCTCCTATTTGAGCAGGATCCTCTCTCAACTTGTCCCTGACACTATTGGAGTCCCTAACCTTCTCTCCCACCACCATCTCAAGGCACATCTGTCTCCACCAGCTCCCTTGCCTAAGGATCTGTCTCCACCAGCTCCCTTCCCTAAGGGATAAAAGCACCATGTTTATCAAGTCATTTAAAGCTTTTTACATTCTGACTTCCACCTTTCTAGACCCTTCGCCCTTCCACACCCCGACCCTTGCCTGGAATGCCTGCCATTTCCTGAACATGTGAGAACTTTCTCACCTTCATGCTTTGGATATCCTTCCCTTGCCCTGTGTGGGGAACCTCCTCATTCAGTGCCAGCTCAGTGATTGGCTTCTCTCTGTGGTCTTCCCTGGTTGTCCTTCCTCTCCCCTTCGGTTCTCCTAGCAACCAGTTCATCCGTCTCTTTCACACATACTATTACATTTGGTTGTGTATATACCTGGCTGTCCTACTGTACTGGGTGGGTGATAACCAAGTTCATGGGAATATTTGTTAAATGTTTGAAAA